GAGCTCTGCTGCACTCAGGCACCCCCGGTCTCTCTGTGACCCCGAGGGTCCTCAGACCACACTGTCCTGCGAGGGTTCCACCCCCGCTTAGCCACCGGAGCGACGTCCCTCAGCGGAGCCGACTTCTAAAAGTTCTGATTTTGTGCTCCGGGGTTCTATCACTTGCCAGAAGTGGCTGACGGAGGCCCCCTCCCCCGCCATCTATTCTCCCGAATATCGCCTCGGATTCACTTCTCCGCATGTCCTACCTTCCAGAAAGTGGTCGCTTTTCTGTTCAGAGTGTTGTTACTATTCTTATCTTCGATCTCCTTTTGAAGTTCGTAGGTGTTCAGAATGGTTTGATCCCTATTCAGCTGAATTCCTGAGACCAAACGAAATCCAGGTCTCCTACTCCTCTGCCACCTTGCCTCTCCCCTGGTTTTCAGTTACCATCTATGTACGGACAAATTTTCAATCTACATCTCTAATTCAAAGCTTTCTTCTATAATAACCAGGTACAGCTATTTAAATATTTTATACTATATTTCTACTTGGATTTCTGACAGGTGTCCCAAACCTCTCTAAAATCAAATGAACCCCCTTTCTACATATCTGAGAGTCAATCTTAGAAGTCTCTTTCTTTCACCCTTTGATTCTATTTATCAATAAAGCTTGCTGAGTGTCCCTCCTGAAATCCTCTCCAATTTATTAATTTCTCTCCACTCTTACTGCCATACTGAAGTTCAGCCCAACATCATGTCTTTCCCATATTTCTACATCTTTCTATTGATCTGTTGGCCACATGTCTTATCTCCCTCAAATTCCTACTCTATACATGAGCCAGTTTGATCTTTCCAAAATCACAAATTTTATCTTTTTACAACCCTGCTGGAAAACCTCCAATAGCTTTGATATAAAGTCCAAACTCTTTAGTGTGGCTTCCAAGACTCCCAATGGCCTGCATCACCCACCTCAATAAACATTATACTCCCTCATCATTATGCTGTCATGTTGAATGTCTTTTAGCTCCTTAAAAGAGTTGGACTCTCTTCACTCATTGCTCTTCCTTTAGACATGGACTCCTCTCCATCATTCTTCCTTATGCCTCCCTGATTTTACTCATTCTTTCCATCTCAACATGAATAACACTTCCTCAACTACCTAGAGTTTGAGGTCCAGGATATGAAGAATTTTTTAGTAGTTTTGATCTTTAAATTGAGGATTACAGTTAAAATGGTTCAAACCAAAGAGTTGGAATTTACCAAAACTGATTATGAAGATGAAAAGGTTGATGGCTAACAGAGGGAAAAACTGAGCCACCTGTTGAAGGCATTTGAGGAAGGGGAAAGAGTGCCCTGGAGGTAGGTATACAAGGTGAGGATTCTGTTTTGGGATTGTCATTTCAGATTACCACAAAAGATGTTACTTCCTGAGCTGCCAAGTCAGTGACTGCTATAGCAGTGAGATTAAAACAACTCTAGCTCTGATCCTTGGGCTTAATAATCCACCTCTAACAGAGCCTCAGTTATATCTAGAGGAAGCTCAACAGCTACAGTTGGAATCCTGTGTTGTTCTGGTGGCACAAAACAAAAGTCTGGAGGTAGACAGAGACTATTTTTATTATATACACTCAAGTACACATTGGAAAAATTAGGTGCTTCCATATCCAGGACTGATCAGAGGCCAAATTGATGGCAATAGGTGTATTTCATTGATGATTAAATTGCGGACCTAACCCAATTTAGACCTCCAATCTAGTTTGCCTACGTATATAGTTTTATGTTTTCATACCTCAGGTTCAACATTTGTAAGCCAGTAAATAAGTTTCACTTAGAAGACTTAACCCCCCCCCAAAAAAAGAAAAGAAAAAGGAATCTTCTTTATCACTAAAAGTTAGACCAACTTCCTCTAAAAATCCATGCCTACCTGGGTACACCAGATGGTAGTTGTCAGCTATGCCGGTAACACATGACAAGTGGAATTGAATGTCCAACTCCGAGTATCTTGGAATCCCAACACTACAAAATCCTGACATCAGTTTCACTTTTAAACCATATTCTGACTGCTTAATTAAAAAGTCATTTATGCACTTTTAAATCTATTTAACATATATATTGAACACAACAGGACACCAACTCTGGAGCTTACAACCTATTAGCAAGATAGGTATTAACTCATGGGTTCATTAATTACAGTGCTACTCATTGGTATAAGGAGAACTACCCTTAAGTTTGTTTGGCTTGTGGGCTCCAGGTTGATTCATTGAACTTTGCAACATCATAAATAAAATATAAATTTTTTGTTTGTTTGTTTCTATGTATTCTATGTATAAGTTCCATTGCCTGAAAGAACTGACTCACTTATGACTTAGGTAAAAAGTTTTTTCCTAGGTTCCATGTATGAGTTTATTGCCTAAAAGAAGTGACTCACCTATGACAGATATGTGATGGTATCCAGAGAGCCATTTCCCCACTTCTTGGCTCAGGTCCCTGACAATGGATGAGCTGCAGAACACAATGTGTTAGGAAAGTGATTTAGCAATTTATTTCTCATCTGAAACCTGAGAGGCAGTTTCTACTAGTTTAACAGACAAGCATAGCTTGTCTAAAAAGCTTTTTTGAGGTCTTATCATGAGTCAACAACACAATAAGGACTCAAATCACTCTGTGCCTGAAGTACCAAGCTTTTGTCATAAATTCTCTCAGGCCATCCTTTCTCTCAAAGAATATTATCTCTTATTTCCAGAATGAATAGACCAAAATAATTGACTCCAAAGTACCCTCCTGATGCAATGTACCATAGAAATGGCCCTATAATGAAGCAAATGGAAAACATAAGCATTCTTATTGTATTAATCAATAATGGAACAGTGGAGCCCTCAATTTAGGATTGGACTTATATGACTTTAAATAAATAATCTGTAGTGTATATCAGCATAGAAGTGGTCAAAGAAAACAGAGAAGATGTGAAATAAGTTAGGAAGAAACTAATTGAAAACTTACTGCAATTCAGAGGAAAAGAAAAGTAACTCAAGCAAGACTCAAATATTAGTTGTAGAGTTTAACTAACAGTACTGCCAATGCTCAAAGTAGAAAAATATGTCCTTAGGGTTGACAAAAAGTGAAGAAGAAATCATTGGAGTAGGAAGGTAAAATTGGAGAGGCTCTGTGGGAGGCTTCAGAGGCCACATAGAGAAAAATATCCCCTGCAACCATAGAAAGCCTGCCTGGCTGAAAGAGTGGGAAGTGTCCCTGGCCAGAAGCCTGGGGTTGAGGTCTGGAGAGAGCTGGAGGCAGGATGAAACACAAAAGAAAACCAGACATTAGAAGGCCTGGACTTGGGAGTCCTTCAAGTCTCAGGAAGAAGTAGGAGGAAAAGTTTATAATTCCAAAGCATTGAAGGGAAACTGGAGAAGGCCAAAGGGAACAGAGGCTCTTGGAACTTGTTGGGGAGGATAACTTGCAGGGGGCAAGATCTTCTGGCAGGATTTTAAGTCTAGGACTGTAATTTCACCTCAAGTTTCTGGAACTTATACAAACCACTGAAGGTCTCTCTCAATTTTATGGAACCCTTTGGAGGGAATGATGCTCGGCAATTCAGTTTCCCTCTATTTATCTGTATGTAACACATTGTTTCCTATAGTGAAGGGACCACTGAATTTTCAGACAGCAGAGAAAAATTATACTTTTCAACTGCAAATGTAATACCTTTCCTTTTTTTTCCCCCAACAACTGTCAAAAATCCATTATTAGAAAATCAATTCTACACTGATTTCCAACAACAGATTGGAGATACTCAGTAAGTGAATTTCAGGACACTATAGAGTGTGTTTTCTTATTTTTGGACCAGGCATTCTTCCAGAATCTTTATTATTTCTCCTTTTGTTCTTCCTCCATCCACAGACCATATCTAATTGAGAGTCATACTTCCAACATTGTTGTACTATTTTACCTCCCAGAAAGAAATATTTGTCTCTTTAGTGTGAAGCCAAGTACCCTTTTCATAAGAGTTTTGAAAAACTTGATTTTTATTTTCTTTATGAATAATGATGTTCAGCATCTTTCTGTGTGTTCATTTGCTATCCATACTGTTACACAGCTATTATAGAATGTCTAAATTAAAAAAATAATAACAACCCCCCCCACTCCCCAGAATTGGCACACAAAGTTCTGGAAAAGATGCAGAGCCACGAGGACTTTGATACATTGCTTATGGCATAGCCATTCCAGAAAATGGTTTGGCTATTTCTTGTGAAGTTAAACATAGACTTTTCATACAATGTGGCAGTCTTACTCCTCGGTATTTACCCTAGAAAAATGAACACTTATGTTTACATGAAAACATGTACAAAAATATTTAAGCAGAATTATTTATAATTGCCCCGAACTAGAAACAACCCAAACTTCCTTTAACAGGTAAATGGCTAAACCAACTACAGTAAATTCATACAATGGAATATTACTCAGCATTAAACAGGAACAAACAACATGAATGAATTTCAGATGCATTCTGCTAAGTGAAACAAGCTATCTCAAAAAATGACATACAATATAATTTTCTGGAAAAGGTAAAATAATAGAAATCAAATCAGTGGCTTCTGGGAGTTAGACATGAGAGGCAGCACAAGGGAATTTGGGGAGTGATGGAATTGTCTGTTCTGCTTGTGATCATGGTTACATGAACCTAGGCATATATTAAAACTCATAACACTGTATATTCCTCAAAAATAGATGAATTTTAATGTATGCAAATTATAAACAAACAAATAAATAAATGTTGAAAAAGTTGGTCTTTACCAAGCAGGAAGAAGTGGTCCCCACCCAGATTAGCTCCTTAATTACAGATATTCACACTTATCTAGACTTAACAAACATTCTATCTTGAAATGCTGATTTAGTGCCTTGAAAAGATGGGGCCCAAAGTAAGGTCTTCTATAGTCATCCTATTTCTTTTTCATGAATGGAGAACTGGTGAGAAATCTCATTACTACCAAAAAAAAAAAAAAAAAAAAGCTCCATTTTAGCTTTGTGCAGTGGCAGTATCGTGGCCACTGAGGTTTATCCGAGGTGCGATTATTGCTAATTGAAACAAAAGTTTTATTCTTTTAAAACAAAATTCATATCACATGTTTGATTTGTTTTCTTTTTAGTACCAGCTGTGGGGCTTGGTGGGCCAGAGATGACTAGGTAAGTCCACAATGCAAAGTGAGGTGGCACCCCTCTTCATCACACCCTTCTCCCTGTTCAAGTACCTACTTGTGTTTACTGAGTCTTCTGAAGGTTGGAAGGGGTGCTGACTGGAGGGAAGGATGGGTGCCAGCACAAGTGGAGTTGGAAGAGATGACAGAGCCACTGAAATCAAGTTCATTATCAGATTAGAAAAATCTGGTTCCATGAGATTCAGCAATAGGGCCTGAGGGTAGGAAAGGAGCAGTGGGTCAGAGTACAAAGTAGTGACTGAAACCTACCTCAATGGGGAGGATACAGAAAGAGCCATCTTTAGGCCCAAGTAACTGTGTTTGTTCCTCTACCAGCACCTAAGTGTCACACAGAGGAGAGATCCTTGCCCCTCTAGGTTCACAAACCGCAAAGCTGTGCATCATTAAGAAATTTAGAGTGATTGAGCCAGGCTAACAAAGTGACTGGAGACAGAGACAGAGAAATACTAAGAAGAACTTTAGAGGGACCTAACAAGAGGTGGAAATTCCTCCAACATTGGAACTGAGATGACACTGAGGAACCGCCCCCCTTTCCTTCCTACCTCCATGGTTCCAAACACAGAAATGCTGGATAAAAATATCACCAAAAATTATAATGAAATGCAATCAAAAAGAAAAACATTAGATGTTAAAAATAAAAGGAAACAAGAAAACAGGATAGTAATCACATGAACTAGTGTCATGACAACTGACCAATAGGTTATTGTTCTCAAATCTAATCCTAATGGCCAGGAAAATGGATATTAGTACCCAGGCAAGGACCAGAAGGGTAGCCCTGGAACTGATTCTTGCACAAATCTCAAAGCTAGGATACCTCAAGGGTTGAACCCTCTGTAAAATTGAGTCTGGAAGTGGCAAGAATCTTTTCGTTAGTCTGGAACTTCAGGTAAAAATGAAAATTGGGGGACAAAATTAAAACAAGGTAGAAATAAAAAACTAGGAAATAATGTCAAGGAAGTTGGATGACCTTTCTAGAGAGCTTGAGAGTCAGTCAGTGTCACAATTAAGAACATGTACTGTAAAGACAGACTTCCTATGTTCAAATCCCAGCTCTACCATTTATTAGCTGTGTGATCTTGGACAAGTTACTTCCCTCAATTTTCTCATCTGTAAAATGTAGATAATAATAGTACCTACTTCATCAATATTAACTTATTAATATTTTACCTCCAAAATGTTTAGTATATTGATTCAAAAAAATCTTTTGGAAAAAAATTGGGATTTGAAGAGAATTTTCTTAATCTGATTAAGGTTGCTTAGCATTTTCTTTAAAGTCAAGAACAGAATAAGAATGCCAAACCCACAACTATATCGTTAATTAATCTTTGACAAAGCAGGAAAGAATATTCAATGGAAAAAAAAACAGTCTTTTCAACAAATGGCCTTGGGAAAACCTTACAGCAACATGCAAAAGAATGAAACTAGACCACTTTCTTACACTATACACAAAAATAAATTCAAAATGGATTAAAGACCTAAATGTGTAACAAGAAACCATTAAAATCTTAGAGGAGAACACTGGCAGTAACTTCTTTGACATATCTAGCAACTTCTTATTAGATATGTTGCCAGAGGCAAGGGAAACAAAAGCAAATATAAACTATTGGGACTTCATTAAAATAAAAACCTTCTTCACAGCCAAGGAAACAATGAACAAAACTAAAAGGCAACCTATGGAATGGGAGAAGGTATTTGCAAATGACATATCTGATAAAGGGTTAGTATCCAAAATCTATAAAGAACTTATACAACTCAATACCCAAAAAACAATCCAATTAAGAAATGAGCAGAAGATATGTATAGACATTTTTTCCAAAGAAGACATACAAATGGCCAACATGCATAAAAAGATGCTCAACATAACTCATCATTAGGGAAATGCAAATGAAAACTACAATAAGATATCACCTCACACCTGTCAGAATGGTTAAAATCAGCAGCAAAAGAAACAACAAGTGTTGGCAAGGATGTGGAGAAAAGGGACCCCTCTTACACTGCTGGTGGGAATGCAAACCGGTACAGCCAATCTGGGAAGCAGTACAGTATGGAGGTTCCTCAAAAAGTTACAAATAGGGGCACCTGGGTGGCTCAGTTGGTTAAGCACCTGCCTTCGGCTCAGGTCATGATCCCAGGGTCCTGGGATTGAGCCCCAAGTTGGGCTCTCTGCTCGGCGGAGACCTGCTTCTCTCTCTCCCTCTGCCTGCCGCTCTGCCTATCTGTGCTCTCTCTATATCTCTCTGTCAAACAAATAAGTAAAATCTTAAAAAAAAAAGTTACAAATAGAACTACCTTATGATCTAACAATTGCACTAATAGGTATTTACCCAGAGAATACAAAAATTCTAATTCAAAGGGATACATGAACCCCAATATTTATAGCAGCATTATCTACAATAGCCAAGTTATGGAAAGAACCCAAATGTCCATCAACTGATGAATACATAAAGAAGATGTGGTATAGAATATTACTCAGCCACAAAAATGAATGAAATCTTGCCATTGGTAATAACGTGGATGGAGCTAGAGGGTATTATGCTAAGCAAAATAAGTCAGTCAGAGAAAGACAAATACCATATGATTTCACTCATAAATGGAATTTAAGAAACAAAACAAATGATCATGGGGGAAAAAGAGAAGCAAACCAAGAAACAGACTCTTAACTATAGAGAACAAACTGAACGTTACCAGAGGGGAGGTGGGTGGAGGGATGGGTTAAATAGGTGATGGGGATTAAGGAGGGCACTTGTGATGAGCATTGGGTGTTGTATGTAAGTATCAAATCACTAAATTGCACCTGAAACTAATATTACACTTATGTTAACTAGCTCAAATTTAAATAAAAACTTAAAACATTTTTAAAAGAATGCCAATTATTACTGCATTTCTTTCTTTCTTTTCTTTTCTTTCTCTTTTTCTTTCTTTTTTCTTTGGCTTCAGGAGTAGAATTTAGTGATTCATCACTTACATATAACACCCAGTGATTACTGCATATTTTCAGTGTTGTACTTTACTGTCATAGCTAGCTAAGAAAAAAGAAATAGCATAAAAATTCCAAGTGAATTTACAAACACAGATAATAAGAGTTCATCAAAGTTGCCATATATGAGATCAAGATGGAAGAATTAGTTCAGTTCCTATACATCACTTAAGACAATTACAAAAATGTAATAATAATAAAAACAATCATAATTGAAACCACAACAAAAGCTTGACATACCTACGAATAAATCTAACAAGATGTGCAAGACCATTATGGAAGATATTATAAAATATTATTGCAGAACATCAGAAGACTCAAATAAATAGAAAGATCATGGTCAATAAATGAGGATATCAGTATCATAAATGTTATCTCCTCACGAATAATTTATGTATTTTAAATCCCAATTATATCCCAGCCTCTTTTTTCCACATTTTCTCTCTTGCTATGTCCTTTTCCTCCCTCTTTATAAAAAGCTTGCCTTAGAAAATAATCTGTTGATATTTGCTGACACCCTAATCAATAATATCCTTCTCTCCACAGGAATTTATTTTTCAGCATAATAATTCATCAGGTACTCATAAGCTATATATCTACTAAAGGAACTTCACATATCAGGAACTGAAAATGTGAGTTATTGGAGACTGTCAGTGACCTTGGAATACCTTTCTGTGGATATTCTTCTCTGCTTCTGTATAAAGCTAGATAGGTAAAAACAGAAAAAAACAAAACCAAAAGTGAACAAAAAAAAACACCTCACACTACCCTTTTCTTTTGTGTTGCTTGACAAACAGGGTGAGTTTCTAAATATTTCTGTTCTTTTGGTAAAATTTTCATTTCATTCAGGCTGGCAATAAGCAAAAAAGGATGAAAATCTTTTAATTTCTGTCTGTCACCGTGTGTCTATACATCTGCTTTGTCACTGTATGTTCACACACATATACACAAAGTATTGGCCTTGTGGGACGATGGAGACATTCCGGAATGACTGTGCTCAGAGTTCGGGATCTGGTCACAATCTGAGCTCTACAGCTGATTGGAAGTCTCAGTTCCCATATCTACAAAACTAAAACAATGGAACAGCTTCTGAACTGCAAATAGGATTGATTTTACAGTCCTACTTTGAGTGATTGGTAGTGGCTGCCTAGGGTACTGACTTGAGGCAGCTGAGATGAATCTTGATGCATTGGGAGAGTGTTTTGTGATAAATTAGCCATAAGCATGGGATAGAAGAATGAAGGTCCTCATGCTAGAATCTTGCCATCCCTGGACCACAAAATTACTAAGGTCTTTTCAATTTTTGTATCACATCAGGCTATGATTGATTCTTTACTTGCTGAAGGTGTGAAGCATCTGCCCTTCAAGTAAGCTAGCCACCTACTGTAACCTATTAGAAGGCTGTTGACATGTACTGAATGTATTATTGCTTGTTCCTTTCTTAAAGAATTTGAAGAATCATAAATAATTATTAAAAGCTAAAAAGAGAATTCACAAAAATGAAGGGAAATGAGAGTAAAATATAAAAGAGAGAATTCGCATAAGAGCCAACTATTGAGGTTTGATTTTAATCTCTCTAACTTTATTCTCTATTGTTTTCTCTTTCTATTTCATGTCCATAGACTGTAGCAAAATATAAAGGAGTCACACTGGCCTCATAGTAATATGTGAAGCCTGGACATTTTTCAAGTTTTCACATGAAAATGGTAAAATCTTGAGATTTGTTGAGGATTCTGTATGATGGGGGAAATGCTTTAGCTGGCTTACTGAGTCACACTTAAGAAGAGCAATCAGAATGATTGTTCTATTTAAAATTCATCAGCAGTAATGATCACTTGCGTCATCCTGCAAAGATGAGATATGGGTCTCATGTGGAGGCATTCAAACCTCATTACTGTCTACAGTGCCCTTAGATGCAAGTTACTCAATGCATAGTAAATGGATCAGCACAGCCAAGTTAGGCCAAATAG